AACTCAGTCGGTATAGCGACTGGCTATGGTTTGACCGCCCAGTGGTCGGAGATCGTGTCCTGATAAAGACAAAATTTGTTTCCTCTCCGTGTTCTCCAGACCGGTTCTGGGACCCATCCAGAGGGAACTGTGTGCCCTTTTCCTGGTGCAAAGCGGCCGGGGCTTGAAACTGAGCATTCAGCTACAAATACTGAATAAGCAACCTCTTTATTATATCCGTCACAACACAAATAATATCAAGATCAGACCATTGTCGGCCCTGCTACATGTTTCGGCTATTAATAGCCATCATCAGGCAAACACATGATTTACACATATACACACCACTGAACCGCAGCACCAACAAAACTGGATACAATATTATTAAAATATATATAAAAAAATGCTTGAAGTAAAAAATACAACAAATCAGGTTATATAAAATAGAAGTATGATATAAAAGAAGAATACAATTCTTTTGGTGTTTTTACATCAACGTGTCAGTCGTTGGTTTGTGACTTGTTTTTTGTTTCGTTCCCACGGACAAGTTGGAATGTTCATACTTATGCGTATATAAAATTGTGCATGAGGCCCGTAATGTAGATGTAGTAAAGTAAATTATGATATTAGTCAGTGCCTCATCTCACAAAGTGTTGTCCGCACTGTAGGGAATGCAAAAAAAAACACTGAATAAGTCCAGAACACTTGGCTCTATACGTCTTCATGGCGCAGTGCTTAATTAGTTAAGCACAAGGACAACTTTACTTTACATTACTGATATACATGCTACAACTCCAGGGTGTGCCCCCAACTTATGTCAGGTGCTAAGGAGAGGAAATGTGTTGAGAGCAATTTCCCGCGTTGCAGTCGGACTGTCAAATGCAGTGCACAACTGCATGCATGCCCTTGGAACATATGCATATGTGTGAAATAATATTTTCTATTAACACAGTATATTTTTATTTCCTGCTAGCATAGTATATGCCCGACCTTGAAGATGAAGACAGTAATTTTCTCCGAAATATTGGTGCGTATGTACTGAATTCCACGGCGATGTATCCTACAAGACCAAAGTTCATAGTCGCATTTCTGAGAACTCCAAAATAAAGTTGAATTCTTGTGCAACAGTGAACTCTCCTGGAAAGGATAGGGAACCCACAGCATATTGGAAAGAAACATTGACGACAGGAGGTCCTCAGGATAAATGAAAACTGTCAATAAAATTGCTTTACAATTTATTGCAATGCGTTTGTGAAAATATACATTTTATGCACAATATATATACTTGTCTAAACTGTATTGAGTGGAGTACGTAAGTGTCACGTGCAACACTATAATCTATAAAATTAGTTGAAATACATTCACTTTAAAAGTTTATCACTACACGTTTCGACCAATATGGTCATCATCTGGTGCTAAAATTATTGTGCGAGAAAAATTATGTTTTATTAATTGTGTTTGAAATATACAAGTTCCCTCGATGCACATATGGGTTTTTGATTGGTATGTCGTGTTCTACCATGTTGCGTGTCTTGTTTTCGAATCCTTTGATATGTTTTATAGAAAATAGAGTTGCACTTAAGACTATAAGAAACCAGTCGACACTTAGGTAAAAGTGCAACAGGATGCTACAATATAATATTACAGCACTCAAGTTTAACTTTGAAGAACCCAAAAGTATACCTCCACAAGAAGCAACTGTGCGAGTTGCTAGGATCAATTCAGGAGCAGTGAGTCTTGAGACAGAGTCTGATTTAAAGTCCTACTGACTAAGACAGTCCACCAGAAAAGCTCGTCCCTCCTGAATCACCAAAACTTTCAGATACTGAAACCTCTCCCTAACCACTAGACCCTCATGCACTGATAGACCCACCTGTTCCGCTAGACCCGCTAGACCCGCCGACGCCGATAGAGCCTCCT